AAACTCAACAAAAAAACGCAAACAATACAATTCAGTAATGTGCAAAGGACTTGAATAGACATTGAATCTCCAAAGATTTACAGATGTTCAATAAGCACATGAAAAGATGTCCAATATCACTGATCATTAGGGAAATGCAAAGAAAAAGTACAATGTGATACCACTTCACACCAATTAGAATGGCTCCTATCAAAAAAAAAAAAAAAAAAAAAAGACAAAACAAAACACACAGAAAACAAGTGTGAGTGAGGATGTGAAGAAATAGGAATCTTTGTGCACTGCTGCTGTGCATGTAAAATGGCACAGCTGCTATGGAAAACAGTATGAAACTTCCTCAAGAAAATTAGAAATAGAAGTACCATATGATTCAGCAATTCCACTTCTCGATATATATCCAAAAGAATTGGAAGCAAAGTCTTGAAGAGATCTTTGCACACATGTGTTCATAGCAGCATGATTCCCAACAGCCCCAAGGTGGAAGCAACCCCTATGTCCATTGAAAGATGAATAGATAAACAAAATGTCAAATATACGTATTTATTAATTTGTTAGTGCTACCATAACCAAATATCACAAACTGGGTGCCTTAAACAACAGAAATGTATTCTCTTACAGCTGTGGATGCTGCAAGTCCAAGATCAAGGTGTGGCAGGGTTGGTGTCCTCCCATTCACCCCTTCTCTGTGTAAGTGCCTCTCTCGTGCCTCTTCCTTTTCTTGTAGGGACAACAGTCATTAGAGCTCTACACTTATGACTTCATGTAACCCTAATTACCTCTGTAAAGGCTCTATCTCCAAATGTAATTACATTGAGGATTAAGGCTTCTACACTTGGGTGAGGGCACAATTTAATCTCTAACAACTTGTAATAGAATATCATTCAGACTTAAGAGGGAAGGAAGTCTGTTACATGCAACATTATGGATTAACCTTGAGGACATTATCACCAGGCCTACACAAAAGACCCCTGTAATTTTATTTTTAAAAACTGCCCCCTCTCCTACCACCCAGAGTACCCATCCCTTCTGCCTGCATCTTGCTGTCACATACCTCTGAGCCTTTGTACACCACTGCTTTCTTTTCTGGAATGTCTTCTCTTCACCCTCCTCATCAGAGTGAATCTCACTCACCCTTCTAAGCTCAGCCAGTGCTGTCTTTCAAGTTCCTGTTCCTGAAAGAGAGTTCATTTCTCTTCTGTGCTCCTCCAGTTTGTTGCACGACATGCTACATCACAACTCTCTCTCTCTCTCTCTCTCTCTCTCTCTCTCTCTCTCTTTTTAACATGGAGTTTCTCTCTGTTGCCCAGGCTGGAGTGCAATGGCTGATCTTGGCTCACCACAACCTTCGCCTCCCCAATTCAAGTGGTTCTCCTGCCTCAGCTTCCTGAGTAGCTGGGATTACAGGCATGCACCACCACATCTGGCTAATTTTTTGTATTTTTAATAGAGATGGGATTTCTCCATGATGGTTAGGCTGGTCTCGAACTCCCGACCTCAGGTGATCTGCCTGCCTCGGCCTTCCAAAGTGCTAGGATTACAGGCACAAGCCACCGCGCCCAGCCTCCTTCACCAAACTGTAAGTTCTCAAAGGCACAGAGGCTCTCCTCTCTCCTCACTCATGCCCTGTACAATGCCCATACATAGTAGATACCAATGTTCATTGAATGAATGCAGGCACAGATATGCAAACAATGGTAAGGGAATTGGGACTAGCATGGCTCAATCATATTTAGTGAGGCTACCTTGTCCAGTCAAAGTGTGGTGGCAAAGCGTAGTATACGTGTATCAATAGTAGCCCACAGAATGACTTTAGGTAGCATCTGGATGAACCCATTTTTAAGTAGTTATATAATCTCTCAATGGGTTAATTTTGCCTGCTGGTCAGGTAGAGCTGACTTATCAAGACAGGAGAATTGCATTAGAGAAAGAGTTTAATTCGAGCAGAGTTGGCTGAATGGAAGACTGGAATTTTTTACTCAAATCAGTCTCCCTAAAAATGTGGAGACGAGAGTTTTTCAAGGATAGTTTGGCAGACCAGGGCATGGGTGGTGTTGATTGGTTGGGGATGCCATCATAGGGGTGTGGGAAGTGGTCCTCCTGCATGCTTAGTCTGCTTCTGGGTGGGACCATGGGACCCCTTGGTAGGTCCAGGTGGAGCCATCTGTTGTCAGAAATGTAAAAGCCTGAAAAGACATCTTAAAAGGCCAATCTTAGGTTCTATAAGAGTGATGTTATCTGCAGGGATAACTGCGGAAGTTGCAAGTCTTGTGACCTCCAGTATAATGGTTGGTAATCCTTTACATTGGCATGTTAGCAGAACTCAGGCTCCTCGCATCCTCCTGACCTGGCGTGTTGCTTTCATTAGCTTTACAAAAGCCGCTGAGTTTTGGGGAAGGGCTATTACCATTTGAAGTATACACTGAATGTCTCCCAAAGTTACCTTGGGCCAGGCCCAGAAATAATTAAGGGCAGTTTGGAGGTTAAAGGCAAGATAGAAGTGAGTTAGATCAGATCTCATTCACCGTCATAATTTTCTCACAATTACAATGTTTCCAAAGGTGGTTTCAGTTATAAACTCATACTAATGTGTTCTAAAAAAGATATAACTACATTTCAAACCTGTGAGTTCATGGATCTCATTGCTTCTTGAAGGACATAGAGATATTTTACCCCAAACTCTATTTCTTTGACATATTTTGAAATGGCTGCTGCAGTGCAAACAGACAGAAGTGGCTTGAAAGCTGTCTTACGTGGGGGAAATTTGCATCTGTAGAGAATCTCCAAGGATACGGCCAGGCCTTCCCTTTCTAGGCTGTTCCTGGATCTAGGGAAGATTGAGAGTCTGACCCTTTAAAGGTCAGAAAGGGGATATTTACCATCTATTCTCTTGAGGGCTGCCACCCAAGAGGTGGCATAACGAGACCCCCTTTTGTAGCCAGGCCCCTTCCTCTCCCCATCTCATAACCTGCCTTGGTACTAAACTTGATCTACCAGCCTAACCTGTTTTGGGTCATGCTCGGAGCATGCATTCTTTATGTAACCTTGAGATGGTGTGCAAGCTTTGGAAACTCACCAGGAACTGGATCATCATTCTGTAGTCTCCCATGTATATACATGACACACATTTGTCTGCCTTTTCTCCCACTCATCTGCCTTTTGTGAGTTATTTTTTCAGCAGACCTTCAGAGGGCCAAGGGAGAAGCTCTTTCTTGGCCTTCACATTCTCATGTGAGGTAAGTTCTCTTCTTCCCATGCTAGGTAAGAAGTCAATTTCACTAAAACCGAGTAAGTAATGCTACATGTGGCTCACGGGCATGGCAAAAATCTGAAATGCTGGAAGAAGGAGAAACACGGGGCTAGTCTTTTGTCTCACTTTTAGACAAAAGTATAGACTGATGTTCCCAATGACATTCGGAGAATGGTATTTTCCATGATTCATTCTGCTTTTCAATCTTCACTAGCAGGAAGCAGTGGCGTGAGCTGGGGAGGGGAAGTAAAGGCGTCCTTAATCGTGTCTCCACCTGCCTTCCAAGATGTTGCCTTCGATTTTCCTTTGAGTGAGGGATGATGAGCCATCCTCTCAGAGAACATCAGCTCATTCCTTTCATAGCCAAGCTCATCAGCATTTCTGGTGATTGTGTATTGTGGTATCTGCAAACAAGTGATGTATATTCTGCAGGCTTTTCAACCAGGATATTTGTAAGATACATATTAAAAAGATGAGTCTTTGGTTTGCTTCCAAGTCACAAAAATGTGAATCCTCTTTAGAAATGGTATTTGCACCTAATGCTGACCTATGGAATGGAGTGGATGTGGGCATGTGGCCACTAGGAGAAGGGGGTGGCAAGGGGAGGAAGAACGAGATGGGGCAGGTGGTAGTTGTATTTTTTATATTACAGGAAGATGTTTTGCCTTACAAAGGGATTAATCACAGGGTTCCTTTTAAACAGAAAGTTTCATGCATTTTAAAAGAGGATTTGATTTACAAGAAACTTTTCAGGAACACAGCTGTTGGGCAAAGCAAGCTATTTACCCTGACTTGAAATCCATTTTATGAGCCAGGAGTCTGGGGTGTCAGGGTGAGTGATAAAACTCCTTTAGGTTTTAATTGACAAGTGATATTGACTAGCACAGTTAGGAGCCCAGGTATTGGGCCTGGTCCAGCATGTTCCCGTAGTAAATATGCGTGAATGTGCTGAGTGCTTGAGTATTGATTCATTTATGTACCTGTTTGGCTGGTGCTGCGAAAGGCTTTGTATTTTGCAGCTTTGGAGCCAAGCCACCTTTCACAGAAGGCTGTGTTAGAATGTACTAGGTTGTTCAGCATGAATCATCTGGCTCAATGGCCTCTGGGGAGGGGGTTTGGCCTCATGCATCACTGCAAGACACAGACTCAAAGACAACTGTGCAGGGTAGGCACACAGGGAGTTAGGGAGCCACAGGAATGAGATGAGATCTTTGCCTTGAAAACAAGCCTTAGGGTTTCTTTGAAGCCTCCTTTTCCCTTCTATTCAGATGGCTAATCGCTATCTACCTCCCTCCCAGTTGTCCTGCTCCACTAAGTCTTTATTTATCACCTCTCTCTTGCAGAAATTCCACAGGAGCCCCAGGGTCCTTAAGTGATTCCCTCTTTCCCTGCTCCCTGCTTTAGAGACACAATAACAAAGCTTCAGGTTGAAAGAGAGAACGTCCTACTGCTGAGCCTCAAATCTCCCCTGGGCAAGGAAAACAACAGGCTTTTGTGCCACAGTTTCTAAGACTCACCCTGAACACTGTCCTTGAGCCAGTAAAGTAAAGGTGTCACAGGTAGAAAAGAGCTGCTGTTCCTCAGAGGGTAAAGATGTTAAAAATTCAATCATTGCTGATGGCAGATGTTTACTGAGTGTCAGAAAGAAAGGTGGGCATTTTCTGGGCATTGTAATTGTGGAGTAGTACTCCCACTGAGTCCAAACCCAGAGAGGGCACCATGTCTGAGAGGCTGAAGGAAAGACCCAGGGACAGTGAGCAAGACGTAAGTTTTATTGGGGAACTTAAACATACAGGGAGTCCACAAGTGGCTGGCTGGATGGGGTAACTGCTACCTTTTGTGAAAAGCATGCAGTTCATATAGCAATCTTCACTTAGCAACCTCTGCCTGGCCACCTCCACCTGACCACCTCCACCTAGCTCAAACAAAGGGCCTCGGTTCCTCGCACATCCTGTTCCAAGAAACGGGCCAGGCGTTCAGCTATGCTCTACAGATAAGGAGTAAACCTCTGGGTTGGCTGCTCCTGATTTCCTTAGTTTGGAGCTCTGAACCAACATTCTTGGACTGTAGGGTCTTTCACATCTGAGTTATTGCTATCTGGCACACCTGTCATGTGATAGTTTGCATATAAGGAAAAAACCCATGGAGACTGACTTTGGGTAGCTTACTGTCTAAAAGGAGAGAAGGACAGATGAGCATGCCTGCTACTGTGCCTATGTGACATGGTAAAAAGCCCCATAAAACTGCATACCTCAACCATACCTCAGCTTTCTGTTGAAACTGCTCTTTATAACCCAAATGTGAATAAGTAATTAAGGATCGTAATTGCCACCCTACCCAGACAACGTGTAAACAAATACTAATCTTGACTTTTGTGAACCACTTAAGTAACAACCAGAATGGCAAAACCTGGCCCTCGGAATGTCTGCAGCCCCTCACCTTCATCTTGGCCCAGGAATCCACTGGAATGTCTGGAACCCCCTCACCCTCATCTCCACCCAGAAGATGATTTACAGAATCCACTAGCCCTTGGAATGTCTGAAGCCCCTCACCCCCACCACCACCCCTCACCCTCACTCCCAAGGTGATTTGTACAGGTATAAAGGGTTTGACACCCTCCTTTCGGGGCCACGGGTTGGAGAGACGTGAGTCCTCCATGGCCGCTGGCAATAAAGACCCTGCAATTTGGCACACTTTTGTCCTGGTGTTGACTTTCCATGCCTGGCCTGTACAACACCTAGAGGACCGTGGAACTGCTCTGACGACACCTGCTTCCTCTCCTTGGCCCACGTGACTTCCTTTCACGCAATGATACATGAAAAGCCTCAGATACCGGGTGTGCTTTGCTGGGCTCTCTCCTTTCCCTTGGGCAATGTCCAGGGGCTCTCTGTTCACTGGGCCCTGAAGGAGAACAACAAAGAGGACAATGTCAATGGCGATTCAGGCACAAAGCCCCCAGCTCATGTGTGGTACCCATATCATGTAAGCAAGAGATAAAACTCTGTAGTTTTAAGCCCTGAGATTGTAGTGATGTTTGCTGCCACAGCATGCACTAGCCCCTGACTGATATACTTCGGCTCGGTTCTGAGTTGCTGCAGAGCTTAACCTTAAATTGATCTTAGCTGATGAATGTTAACTTATCTTCATTTTAGAGTATCTGAAAAATGCTTAGAAAATCAATATAAAAACATAGAATTTGGGGGGATAAAAGGACCTTTGAAATTTATCAAACCCAAGCATTCTGTCCAGCCATTCATCTACTTTGGATTGTGCATTTCAAGTATGTTTCCACTGTAGCGTTTAAAAATGATTATCATTCATATTACTGATTTTGGCCTGAGTTGGACCGTTGTTACTTACTGTTGATTTCATGTAGTTGTAAAGCTCAAATGGGATAAGTATTTGAAAAGTTAAAAGCAGTTTGCAAATATGATTATCCGATCAATGTTTATTGAGAATGTTAGTGACTGGCACAGTTTTTTGTCAGAGCTTGAGTCTGGACACAGAGATCAATCCCTTGGGCAATGGGATTGGAGGTATATGGGTATACGGGTATATGTATATGGGTATACGGGTATATGTATATGGGTATACGGGTATATGTATATGGGTATATGGGTATATGTATATGGGTATACGGGTATACTTCACTTTAGTGACAAAGTTTAGGTTTCATGTTACTAGACTGATAAATGTAATTTTAATAAAGCTGTCAAGATCACCAGTGACCATATGTCATAATAGACATATTCACAGACACAAGGGCTCATTGGGCTGGGCACAGTTGCACGTGCCTGTGGGAAGATCACTTGATCTCAGGAACTGGAGGCTGCAGTGAGCTATGATTGCACCACTGCACTCCAGCCTGGGCAACAGAGTGAGACCGCCTTAAAAAAGAAAAAAAGGAACTCTTTAATTTGCCTCCTAGTTCCCTCTCTTCAGACCTCCAAGGTGTTTAATCGTAAGTTGTAGTGTAAATACATAACTTCTAAGCTTGTGTGTGGTCCTCACACACACACAAGCTCCCATTAACATGAATACAGCTGACATGATGTGCAAAAGAGATGGAACGAATGTAGTTTTTAAAAAGATGACGGGGTAGAATGAGCTCTCCCCAGTTCTGAGTCCTCAAATGCCTTTTGTGCTTTTAGGATCAGTTTTGGGGAAGTGAGGAGAAAAACCTCCCTGCCAGCATGAGCCAGGGCTGAAGAGCACACGCAGCCTCAGAACCAAGGGGCAGAAGAGGCGTCATGCTGGTCGGTAGTATCCATGGCAACCTGAGAGCCTGGTGGAGTTAATAACCCTGTTTTTCAGATCTCTGCTGCTCTCCTTTGGTGGGGGAAAAGGGCCGGGCGTGGCTCCTTTTTCATTTTTATGAATGCTGGTTGATGTATTGTGTCAAAGGTACCAGACCCTTCTGACTCAATGTGGCGAGTCAGGCCTGAATGGGGGGGGGGGCATCTGTGAGGGCTTTGGGCAGCCTGTGGGGTTTCCCATGAGACACAGAGCAGTATTTGCCACAAACGGCCTCCTCCTAACAGGCTATCTCCTCTTGCTACACCTGAAATCAAGTTTGCTTTGGTGTTGCCGCACTTCCTCACCCCACCTCCCTTCTTTGGTATCTAAATCGATGGCCATAAAATGCTCTGAGTGGTTTAGGCCCTGGGGTTGGACAACTTATATTCAAATTCCAGCTCAGCTGTTCAAAACTTACTTATTCTTCTTGTGCTCAGTTTCCTCACCTCTGAAAACATATTTTTTACATTAAAAAACTTTTTTTGGAGAGGCAGGGCCTTGCTATGTTGCCCAGGTTGGGCTTGAACTCCTGACCTCAAATGATCCTCCCTCCTGAACCTCCACAAATGCTAGAATTATAGGTGTGAACTGCCTTGCCTGGCCCAGTTTCCTCATCTCTAAAATCACAGGAGTGCTGACCGGGTAAGATAATCTGTGTTTAGAGCGGCACCTGGGGTGTGTTTTAATGGTGCTGCCAGTGCTGCCTCTGAGGGGCTCACTGAGGGCTGAGGCGTGTCTTAGGGGTTGGGGGAAGAGGCAGGGCTGTAGTCACTGCTGAGCGGTGGGTGAGGGTGACATAGGAAGTTGAGCTAATGATTCTGAGGCTGTAGACAGCTCAAGCTTATCAATTCCCCCACTAATTCTGCCCTAGCCTGCAAACCTGCTCATCTTCCAGGCTTCCCCATCTCAGCAAATGACATAAATTGGGCTTCTACTGTGTATTATAGTTCTAGGCATTGGGATCAATTAACAAAACAGTCAGAACATTCCTACCTCCATGAAGCTAGAAGGTGAAGACAAGAAGAAAAATATAGCAAACAAGTAATGTACATAGGATGTCGATGTTCTCTAGGCAAGGACTGCCAGGAGCACAGGTGCCGCTGCATGCTGCAGTGACTGCAATGCGGGAGGGACCCTCAGGTCTCCTGGTATGTGATTGATCTTCTTCACTGGCACAGTGGGAAATTGAACATGTCCACCTGTGTATGTGTTCCCGGTGGGCTTTGTCCAGAGGGCATGGACAATATGTTAGAAGATAAGGGTTATAGAAAAAGGAAAGCAAGATACAAAAAAGGAGGGATTAGGAGTACCGTGGGGAGCAATTTTGAGTAAAAAGTAGGTGTCAGGGTAAGTTTCCTTGGGAATGTAAAATCTGGGCAAAGATGAAAAGGTGATGAGGGAAGAAGAGAGCATTCCCTCTAGAGGCTCAGCCAGAGGGGAGCTGAATGGATTCTGCTCAGTTGGTGCAGTAAAGCCAAATGTCCACACTGAGGGTTTGCAGTGCAACAAAGAGGGGTATTTGTTTGCAGGACGCCAAGCAAGGAGAATCAGGCAGCTCACACGTAAGATCTGACCTCCCTGATGGCTTGCATGCAAGGGTTTTTTAAGACAGGGAAAAATTTCAGGAAAGCAGAAGTTTCAGGTAAAATCATAAATGAGTACATGGAGGTTACACATTGGTGTGGCTTAAAAAGGTGGGATATCTGAAATAATGCGGCTAATAGGTCATAGGTGGGTTCAAACTCTCTGATTTGTGATTGGTTAAGGAAGGAAAGTTTTCCTTAAATTCTTGGGGTCAGCAGAAAGGAATGGTAAGATTTGGCCCATGGGCATGACTTCTGGAAATTGAGAACAAAGAATAGGCAGTCAGAATTTTGTCTTGGCTTCCCCTGGTCTGAGGTCTGTGTGCCAGCGGATCCATTTGGAGGGCGTCTATCTGCGTTTCTCCTTCCTTCTCAGGTGGCTTCTTTACTTCTCAGAGCTAGCTAGGTGCCTGGACTCTCCCTGGAAGGAATTAAACATTTTTCCTTTATTTTCATAACTGGGTAGTGGCAGTGGGGTGTGCAGCAGGCCCTAATAGGGGTCCCTGTTCCATCTCAGCCCTAAGTTGGAAGCCTGTTGTTCCAGGAGCAGCCAGGCCACTTTGGATGGGGTCATCTCATTTAGCAGATTGGTGAGTGGGGTTGCCTGAAATGAGCAGCAAGGTAATAGCCATGCCACTCAGGGTCTTGTGAGGACTTCGGCCTTTACGCAGAGGTAAACAGGGAGCCCCTGGAGGGTGCTGAGCAGAGAGGCGTGGTGTCATCCAGTGCGTGTTTTAACAGAATTGCTTTGCTTGCTGAGTTGGGATAAACTGTGGCGGGCCAAAGGACCAGCTGGGAGGTTACTGCATGGAACGCCCTGTCTCTCTTCATTTCCTCCCCCCACAGTACTCTCCGGAGCCCTTGGAATGAAAAGCAGCCCCCTTCACACGGTGGTGAGGTCCTGCCTGACCTGGCCCCATCTAACCCCACACTCCTCTTTGTCCTCCTTTCTCTCCTTTCCCCAAGGCATGTTGTTGGTGCAGCCACACTGAATTTCTTTGTTTTGTAAACACGTGGAGATGGCACATCCTCCCAGAACTCCCAAATCCATTATTATCCCTGGGACTGGCTGCTATTCTCCCGAAAAACTCCGTGGCATCCACTTTTGCATTGTGTTGTATGTGGTCACTTATTCCCTTCACTTCTCCAACTCCAGCACACAAACACACACACATACAACCCCAACACACACCTCCAATGCACACACGCACACAACCCTAAATACACACAAGTCCAATGCACACACACAACCCCAACACACACCTCCAATGCACACACACACAGCCCTAAATACACACAAGTCCAACGCACACACACAACCCAACACACATGCACCCCCAACACACACACAGAATTCCAACACACACACACTCAGCACACACACACCACTCCAACAACACACACATGCCTCCAATGCACACACCTCTCCAACACAGAAGCACACCCACAACACACACAGAATTCCAACACACACACATAGCCTCAATACACATCCACTTCCAGCACACACACAACCCCAACACATACAATCTCAACACACACACAACCGCAACACACACCCAACACACAGAGCCAACACACACATACCCAACACATGTACACATCCCCAACACATACCACACACACCACACAGAATCCCAACATACACACAAACAAGCCCAACACACAATCTCAACACACACACATCCAGCACACACACAAAATTTCAATACACACATGCCCAGCACACACACAACACACATGCACACCCCCAACACATACACACCCAGCAAACACACAGAATTCTAACACACACACTCAACACACACATACCCAACACACCCACACAACCCCAGCCCAAAACACACACACACAGCACACACACACAACCCCAACATACACACACACACAGAATTTCAAAACACACACACGCACACACTCACACCCCTGACTGTCACTCTCTACAGGCAGAAACTGTGTCTGCCTTGTTGAGTGTTGTAACTTAGTGCCAAGCACTGTGCCTGGCGTATAACAGATTCTCAC